TTTAAAAAAATATTTTTATACTATGCTCTGCCGTTTTATTTCCTTATTAATATTAGTTTTTATTTTTGCCATTAAAAAAAAAATCAAATATTTTATCCCCCTGCACACTAAAATGCAATTTATTTTAAATATACTGGCTTTTTTTTTTATAGAGGCAAACATTTTTTTATTATTTGCAAATAATATTTTAAAATGATTTGTGGGGATCTGTTGCAAGATATTTAAATTTGTTGTTTAGACATTTTTATCTATTTTTCTTTTACTTTGATATAAAAATCTACATTTATTACAAAATGTAAAAAAAAATAGATAAAATATTCTTACAAACTTAAATTGATCTCATAAATAGAATGTTAGCCAATATAAAAACCAATAACTGGAAAATTTTGCAAATCCGGGAAAAATGTTTTAGTACAAAGTCTTATTGAAAATTTTTTCTCGGCTTTAAATACTAAAAAATATTTCTCTCTGAAAAATTTTTTTTTAAGAAATGTTGTAAAACTAGTTTACCTTTACTATTGAGAAATAAGATGAATATTTAAGTAGTTTGACAATTGCATTCTACTTGTAAAATATCAAAACCTTTTCTTATATATTCAATACATCCTGAATATTAAACTCAACAAATAACGTTCTTTTCTATGCTATTTACTTCATTAGAACTGTTGTCCTCATCTTTATTGCCATATTTGCAATGTTTCAGCCATTGTACACTTAGTTCTTCTTCAGGTGATATACTTTGGAATTTCGCAACAAACCCTTTTAGTCTATAGGGTAGATTGTTCTAATTCCACATGCCATGCCTTTTTTGGATATCTCAGTTTCAGTTAATTCTATTTAGTAACTCAACTCTCCAAGTCTTTGTTATCCCTGCTATGGTCAGGTATTGAATTCAATTCTTTTGGTCAAGTCACTTTATGGATTTCTCAACCAATGATTTTATCCATTGGGATGTTGGTTTTAATTGGTAACAAAAAATTTTTCATGTACATATATATACTTCTAAAATATTAACAACTTTATATGACTCTGTAATTTCTTGCTTTATATCTTCTGAATATTGAAATAAACAATAATCTATTTGATTATTTTTCCTAAAATTCTGTTAATAACTACAACAAAAATGAGAATTTTCCTTAGAATATAAATAATGTTAATTCAATAAGTACCTGACACCTCCTCTACCTTAAAAAGAGCCAGATCAAGATGAAAATAGAGTACTGTTGCCATATATGGGCAGGAGCTGCACAGTCTTCTTTTTCTAGTCTCCATAGAGTTCAAAGGCGTCTCCATGTCCTTGTAGGTGACAAATTATTTTCCACCCTAAAATCCCTTTTGCACAGATGAAACATCGCAAACCTTTCAATGGAAAGTGCTCAGACAAGCTATATTCCTTAGTACCACCAGTCCTAAGCTTTATGGCTGAGACCTGCCATGCCACACACATTGTAATTAATCACCCTTATTCCGTTCATATTCCATTGGTGAGATGTATATTCCACTCAAGCAGCTTCTTATTGTGATTCTTATTTTGTAACCCTCTACCTCGAATGACTCTTGGGCCTTGTATAGGGTGAAAATCATTATGAAAAAAATCTACATATCTCAAGATTCTTGGCAAAATTGAAAAAAAGCATCTAAAATGTTATTGGTCATCATCTGGCATCTCAACTTCATTGACATGGATTTCCTGTTTCTTTTCTATAAATATATTTATGGTATCTGTTCTGATGAGCTTTCCTCCTTGGCACTTTGATCACATGAATTTCACTGTACTACTAAATTGGCAACTAGGTTTTACTGTTGAAATACCAATATATAACCATCAAAGTTTTATTTAAAGTTTTTTTTTTCTTGCACTTGTGGAACTTTCTTCTGGCTTCTTGCTTCAACTACAATCATCAAAAATTTACATGCAACATCCCTCACCATCTTCCGACTTCCTGAATTGTGTTCTTTTATTGTCCTTTCTCCTTCCTCATTTTCTTTTCATTGTCAGTATTCCCTTATGTCTGAGTAACATTATCACCTTACTTGGGGTGAAATGATTATATGGATGACTCTCTATCATCATTGTAGCAATAGGGATTAGGTAGCCACTCAGTTAGACAGGTATCCTCAAATATGAATGGCCAGCTATAGACTAATTCATATTTGAGGATACCTGTCTAACTGAGTGGCTACCTAATCCCTATTGCAAACGCTTGCTCTGGCACATTTGTGTTTGTACAACACCCACAGAGCCCACCTATGGTTTATACTGCAACTATGCTAGATAACATGAGCTTTCTGGGAAAGCATGCTCAAACCCTCGGCCATGATGACTTGTGACTTTATGCTAGCACAAGGGTACTGTCTACTCAATTTCACTCACAAGGCTTTGGTCAACCTTTGTCTTGGTTTTCAGACACTTTCCAAAATTACGGCATGCTGGGATCACCTCCTCCAGATAACATCAGGAAGTCTCCTTCCTGATAAATCGACCATGGTGAGATTCAAATCTGGGTTTCATGGTCAGAAAGTGAATATCCTAACCATTTAGTATTATCAATAATATTAATATTTTTATCACTTTTGTTATGATTTTATTAGATTTATTATAATTTATTATTATTATTATTAAATATGTGGGGATCACAGTGGCTATTGGCAAGAAAAGTGGAATCATTAAGATGATTTAAAATTCCAGGCTAGTTTGTAGCATTTAATTTCACACTAATGCCCTTGGGAAAGGTATGAAAAAAGATTTTGGAGAATGCGAAAGGAATGTTTGAGCCTCTTGTGGGAATTACTCTGAAGGATATTAAGATGCCATTTCCCTGGGTTGGCTGTTTTCATAATTAATACAGGCTGGCTCTATAAATATATACACCTTGACTTAAGGCAACAGAGATGTATTCTACAGAAAGATTCTGAGAATACCATGGACAGAGCATGTAAGCAACAAGTAAGTTTTAAGGAGAATTGAAAAAAAAAGGACAACTATACTTAAATTCAGAAAGAGATCATGGAAATTTCTGGTGTAAATAACTAGAAAAGGCCTGGAAAATTTGACACACACAAGACATAGTGAAACCAACAGGGACAGGAAGACACAGTGAGTAACCTACCTAAAGTGCATATGCAAATGGATTGCAGAATGTGTGAGTAGTAAAGATAGTAAAGAGACAAACACTGCCTACAGCTACAAGAAGTCGTGGAGAGCTATGATCAATCAACTCTTGAAGCAAAAGAAATGTACAGGTGACTAGAATCAACAAAGGGATTTAAATCTTCAGAAAGTACTTTGGTAAGGGGGCTATATCTTTTTAGGATAATATTTAAGAATATTGCACTAGCGACTAGGATTTCAGGATAGACTTTATCCTGGAGTTGATTTATATATTTTTTTAATCATTTCACCCCAAGCAAGGGGATAATGCCACTAAAGTGCAGGAGGTTACATACAATGAAAGAGAAAAGAGAGGATTTAGGAAAGGACAAAAAAAGGATCAGGTTTCAAGAAGATAGAAGATAGCAATTGATGTTTCATTTATGATTGAGATTGCATTTAAATTATGGAGTTCCACAGGTGGGAAGTGTGAGAAAAGAAACTGTTGCAGTAGAAGCGGTGGTTGCATTTAACTATTTCAACAGTAAACGGGTGGAACCTAGATGCCAATCTCGGTGCACACTTAGATTCATGCAGTCAAGGCATCAGGGGCAAAAAGATTGTCAGAGCAGATGCCATGAAAATATTTGTAGAAAAGACAGAGGGAAAGTCACTGATGCCGAGATAGCAGGTCAGGATCAGTTATATTACAGATTCTTCTATGGATTTTGTCAATAAATTATATATACGTACACACACACACACACATATATATATATATATATATATATATATATATATATAAAAGAAAAACAGACCACTTTAAGGTTCCATTATAATAATTTATTTCACCAGAGCCCTTTTAAGAGACACTGGATCATCAGACAACACTTCCAAAAATGAAATGAATGATGAAATGAAAATTCACACTTTTGACTGGTAGTATCAAGTTTATGTAATTTAACAGAGAGAGTAGGGAGGAGTGGTGGGAGATTTTATTTCACCAAAGCCTTTTACTCAAGCTCAACTTTAAACACTTCATATATATATATATATATATATATATATATATATATATATGAAGTGTTTAAAGTTGAGCTTAATAAATATCTCATATATATGTTTGTGTTGTGTAATATTAAATTGTTCTTTAAAAGAAACCTAATGTAACTTTCTACTGCATTCTTTTATCATAATGTGTCATCTATTTCTGAATGTGGGTCCCTGTAAATCCAGGCTTATAATGTTCATGACATTCTCTAATTTGAAAATAGTAAATCACTGAAGTTCAGAAAATAAAAGTAAATATATTGACAAACTTGCTTTGTTTCTGTAATTCAGAAGATGGTTTATCCAGCAATTCTTTCTTTTTTTGTCTTCAACTTTTTTTTATCATTATCCTCTTTTGTTCTTACTTTATTCCACTTTTATTAATTTCCTGTTTTTTGATTCTTCCTTTTGTCTTTTCTCTATCTCTTTTGTCTCACATTTGATTATCTCGTCTTTCTCGGTTCATGTCTATCTATCGTTCTCTGTTCCTATCTATCTATCAATCGATCTCTTTTCCTATCAATCTATTGATCAATCTCTGTTCCTATCTATCTATCAATCGATCTTTGTCCCTATCTATCTATCGATCGATTTCTGTTCCTATCTATCAATCACTGTTCATATCTATCGATTGGTCTCTGTTCCTATCTATCTATCGATCACTGTTCATATCTATTGATCTATCTCTGTTCATATCTATCTATTGATCTCTGCTCCTATCTATCTATCACTGTTCATATCTATCGATTGATCTCTGTCCCTGTCTATCTCCGATCAAATATATCTTTGTTCATATCTATCAATCCCTTTCATATATTTCTGTTCATATCTATCTATCACTGTTTCTATCAATTTATCTATGTCTATACCTTTCTATCTATCTATCTCTGTTTATATCTATCTATTTCTGTTCCTATTTATCCATCTGTCTATTTATCTCAGATCCTATCTATCTGTTTCTATCTATCTTCCTATCGATCAATCTATGCACCTTTCTATCTCTTTTCATAGCTATCTCTATCTTCCTATCCATCCATCTATGTTTCTATGTATATATCTATGTTCCTCACTATCTATCCCTATCTATGTTCCTATCTATCTATCCCACTATCTATCTCTGTTCAGATCTATCTATTCATCTCTATTCCTATCTATCTCTGATCAAATATATCTCAGTTCATACCTATCTATATATATATATCTGTTCATATCTGTCAATCTATGTTCTTATCTATCTATCTATCTATCTATCTATCTATCTATCTATCTATCTATCTATCTATCTATCTATCACTGTTCATATCTGTTTCTATGATCTATGTTTTTATCTCTCTATCTCTGTCCATATTTATCTATGTTTATATCTATCTACCTCTGATTTTATCCATCTTTCTCTGTTCATATATAACTATTTATTAATCTATCTCTATTCCTATCTATCCATCTGTTTATATCTGTTTCTATCTATGATCTATCTATATTCCTATCTCTCTATCTCTGTCCATCTCTATCTATTTATCTGTTGTTATTTGTTTCTATCTACCTACCTATCTATCTCTGTTCATATCTATCTACAATATTCCTATTTATTTGTCTATCTCTTTTCATATCTGTCTCTGTTTATATCTATCCATCTCTGTTCCTATATATCTTTCTATCTGTACACACACACACACACACACACACACACACACTTTTTTCTTCACTGTTTTACTTTTTATTTTCTTAATTCTGTCTTCTTTCATTTTTTTTTGTTTTTCAGAAAACTTCTTTTTCATTTTCCTTGTCTTTTTTTTAATTTTCCTTCTTTCTCTTTACCACTCTCTTTTCAACGCTAAATCCTCAGTGTCAACTAAGTACAAGAGATGCACCTCCCCAACACCCTCACCCAACACCTTACAATACTTACACTTCTAATCAGTAATCCAAGACCTCTTTGCCTATCCTAAATCTAAATATATACATACAATGAACGATAAATCAAAGATGAAAACATCTTGTTTCTTTCTGTACAAAGAATTCTGATTATCTCTTAAGAGGCATTCAATGCACCAAATATATTGATTATTCCAGGAGGCTCTGGCGGAGAGTTGGGAAGAAACGGGGAAACAAAAATATGGGCCCTAAATTTAAATGAAGCCAACTTGGAACAGCAAAATTAACACAAAATAAAACACGAAAGGATAAATAATTGTTTAAATAAATCTTGATTATATCACAAGGAATTTCAACAGAAATTCACCATTGTCATTTACGTTATGCACATGTCAATGTGTATGTGTGTTGCATGTTTGCATATAGAGAAAATTATGTGTGCGTATGCTTTTATATAGAGAAGTTATGCGTATGCATATGTTTTATATATATATATATATATATATATAAAATATGAAACTGTATGTTGTTGTATAGGAATAAAGTATCACTGCTGACACTTGAGTTTGAATATAGTGAACAAACAGAGGCAATCACAATATTGAATTAAGTGAATCACTCTTTCTAGTCTATCCTCTATTATGATATGGACTGCTATTTTCTACTCTATTCACTATACTATTTCTCTATTCAAATCACTATGCGGATTACTATTCAAGCAAGTATTAGTGAGCAAGTACTATTAGTGCAAGACTTATTCGAAGGCATCTGACACCAGTATTGTTGAACAGGGTTACTATAGTTGTATCTGCAATTACAAAGTCTCTACTACAAGCATTGTGAAAGTGACAAAATGTATTCATTGGCATCATCAAAAGTGGCAATGAGTGTTTGTCGACATTATAAAATATGTACATATATATATATATATATATATATATATATATATATATATATATATGTTATGTGTGTGTGTATGAGTATACACTGGCATGCAAATGTTTTGGGAAAACTATATAAAATGATTGTATACTCTTTATTTTATTAAGAGGTTAAGATTGTTTAGCAGTATGCTTTTATCAGTAGGGTCTGTGGACTTTGAGGATTGGAATTATAAGTTGTTGCATTTTCATAGATGCCATGCAATAGATGATGCACCATTTTAAATAGCTTGAAATTGGAAAGAAGTCATGCAAAACTATTTGAGCAATGAAATATCTGAGATGATAAAGTTGTGATAATTTCTAAGTAGGAATTTTTCCATCTTATTAACATTAACATTAGCTTGCGTTTTTTGCACTAAAATCATGCCTAAAATTTCTTCTGGAACAAAGATGAAGGTTGTGAGTTTGAAGAGAAGATAACAGACCATGGGATGGCCTGGTGGCTGGGAATTTCCAGAAACTGTTCAAACCATTCAGAAAACATTTTCTATTACTGGAAATGTTTTGAGACAAGAGAGATAAAAGAAAGATTTTGAGAGTCATGGTAGTCAATCCAAAATTAGTAGCCAGGCAAGTGATGCAGTTTTCACAGCAAGGTTTCAATTGAAACAGCCCGCAGTGTATTATGAAAAACACAACTTGATTGGAATATACGATTGTAGTAGTGTTATATAAGAATAAAATGTCAACACTCGAGTTTGATCAAACACAAGTAATCCCATTATTGAATTAAGTAGACCACATGACCATAGAGGAAATGCATATATCGGAGTTCGCATGTGTCTAATTGATCACACTTCTAGTCTATCATCTATCACTATTTGGATTGCATTTCTATTCTATTTTCTATTACTATATGGACTCTATTCCCTACTCTATTTCTCTATTCAAATCACTATATGGGTTACTAGATGAGCAAGTATTATCGAGCAAGTACTATTAGTGCTATTTGAAGGCGTCTGACACCAGTATTGTTCAATGGTGTATTATACTTGTATCTGTGATTACAAAGTCTTTACAACAAGCATTACAAAAATGACAACAAGTATTCATTGACATTACAAGAGTGGCAATGAGTGTTTGTTAATATCACAAAAAGTAGTTAAAAGAACATTTAATGTAGGATGCTGGAAAGTTGAAAAAAGTAATTTTTAGTGATAAATTCAAAATAGATACATTCTAATCAAAGGTAATATATAAGAAGACCATGTGGCAGAAAGAAAAAATGCTAGTAGAATTTGGTAGTTGGCATATAATGGCATGGGGCTGCATCAAAAGTGATAGTAGATGAAAACTGGTAAAAGTTGATGGAAGCGTAAAGAGCAAAATTTATATTAGTTTACTACAGTATAATCTTCTGTGATGCTATGAAGGATGTAGAAATTGCTGCACATCACATGCAACAATGTTTTCTTAGAGATGAAGATGGACAATTTGTAGAGGAGTGGCCAATACAAAGTTCTGATCTCAATATTTTTTTTGTAGTAATTTTATAACATATTTGTTATAATTTTCGAATAAATTATATATATTTGGTTATCCAACCAAATATGTTAGCTCTATCTCTGATATTGAGCGCTTTCTAATAAGTACCGCGCATATAATATATAAATAATTATACATACATATATATATTTATTTATATTTATATACACTTTTCACACACACATATATATATATATATATATATATATATATAAGGAAAAGGTTATAGTTGTCCCAGTGAGAGAAAAATCTATATTTTAAAAAAAGAGAGAAACCACAAACATTTTTGGTTATCATTTGGATTTGTTTTAGTATATATATATATATATATATCTCAGTGTGTGGATTTTTTAATCATAGATATGTGATAGACTTTACCATTTTGTTCTGTGTATGAGGGTCCTAGAACGGAACAGTCAGACTAGTCACAAATATGATTTGATTCTCATTTTAAAAGCTTGTGCAGAACCATTCACACTTGTTGTTCTTCTCCTAGGCTGGTTACCAACCAAGGCTAAATATACCGTTCTTTTCTGCTATTCAGCCCGTAGGTGTTAGAGTAGGCAAACGTTCGTACCTTCCACAAAAATATTCACATAATGTAATTCCAACTCAGCTTTCTCATTTCTAGTCATTATCTCTTACATCACACACACACACACACACACTCGTTGATGTGCATATATATGTGTGTTTGTAAAGTGTTTTATCTTTATTAATGTATGCACATGAGACTTTTGTCATTTACTGGAGACACATGAAAAGGCTGGAGAGATTTCATCAACAGTCTTCCTACAATATATATGGTGGCAAATGTATGCAACTGACATTGGTATCCTTGAACTCAGTCTATCAATATGGTCTCTGGTACTTCAGTGCTGATTGTGATGGAGTGGTCATGTGGTCAGGATGAAGGAAGATATGACCCTTCATCAGTTTCTATATGCCGAATTGGATGAAGGAAAAAGACCAGTGCACAAGCCGACATTGAGTTATAAAGATTGCATCAAGAACTCACTGTAGAAGATCAACATCACGCAAAATGATTGGGTGAAGCTAACTCTAGATCATTCATCTTGGAGGAAAGAAGTACATGGCGCTAAAAGAGACTTTGGACCGAATCATGTTGCACGTGAAAATCTCAAGAGAGATATTTATAAGAGACTTTATCTTAATTTCCCTGAAATTCTTGCTTCAAAATTTGATCTAACGTGTAATGAATGGAGTAACACATATGTCGAAATCAAAGAGTAAAATTAAAATTTAGCTTATATTTGATTTGAATTGTGTTTATTTCATGCTTCATCTGTTTTTAGATATTTAAATTGCCTTCATTTCTTGTGTTTCTCAGTACTGGCCATACTTGAGTCTTAGGGGCATACAATCAAGGAGTTGGTCCTGGGCATCATCAAACCTCTGCATAACACTGGTTAAAGTAGAGCATGATTAAAAAAATCATCAAAGATGTCACATACACTGAAAAGTCATTCATTATTTATTGTGTAGAATTCATCTAACAACTACTAGAAAAGAAGCCCAACATTGCTTCACCTGAACAAGAGAATGTAAAACACTAGCAGAACTAAAAACTCCATTGTGCTGCTCATATTTGAGAATGGATCAAGTGTAAGAGAGGTTTCATTTTCTTAGCTGCAATATTTGCCATCATGTCTCATGGATATTCTTCCTTTATATGTCATGGCCCTCTACATCTTCCTGAAGATAAATTTGTTATAAGTAGTTAATAGCAGCTATTTTTTTTAAATTGGAAGACTCCTTTGAGAATCAGCAATCACATTTTGTAAAAAAAAGTTTAAATAAATATTAAAAAAAAAACTTATATTAATTTCTAACCTATTTCTTGAAGCAGATATTAGATTGTCATAAAACAGTTTATGAAGTCAGTAATAGATATGGTCAGTGGGGAAATTCATTTTCCTTTAACAGGTTCACTCCTTTTCTTCTTTTATGCATTGTGTCACTTCAGGATATAGGCCCTTAACGTCATTTT